TAAGTGTCGGTCAAAATTTGTCACTTCCCATGTTAAGTTGACTGGACGTTTCCAGTAGTAGTGAACAACATATCAAAATATGGGAACACATTTTTTTGGTAACTTTATGCACTTGGGTTGGACTTAGCCATTTACGTGCGTCTCCCCACTCCCCGTAATTATTTCTAAATGTCACCAAAATTATTAAATATCTCATGTAACGTTGTCTGGATGTGTCGCGTTATGGTTAACAACATATCAAAAGGTGGAAAACTTTTTTGGCGCAAATGTGCTTTTACAAGTTGTTTACGCTTTGCTGTACGTTTGAATTCGCGCGATTCATGCGCGCTTCACCCGGAAAACGGGCAGGGCGGAAGCCGGCCGGCAGCCGCAGCCTAACCTGCAACTTGGCCATGTGCTTGTCGTGTTGTTTGTAAACAGAGTCAGTATTTTCTCATATTTTTGTAGTTTTTAACTATTTCTCAAAGTTTGAGTTATTTTCCCTTATTCACTCGGGTATAGTGAATTAGTAGAAATGTTAGCAAAGCGATTGAAAAGACCGAATTGTTTAAAACAAATCAAATCTGAAAGCCAACCCCCTGCAACTCTCAAGAGAAGTTTTCGTGCAATCTTTTCACAAAACTTTGTAATAGTCAAGACTACCCTCAGTTATTTTAGTGTTTCTAGTATTGAGTGCATTTCAAGAAACAACATGCAGAGGAAAGTGTTGAACTTCAGTGTGGACCCAACCTGATCTATACTCAGGCAGCCACAAGGTATGTATACTTTTACTTGCATTGTAGCCTGCAAAGTGTGTTTGCTTTCTTTGCTCTCAGCAGCCATGCCTTAACAGTTCCATGAAAAGTTCCCATGTCTAATGCAGATTTTAAAAGAGAATAAGTATTATGTTGATCTGTTCTTAGGGTATCGACCTGCTGAACTTTTCAAACAACATCAAGCGGCCCAGCCAGTATGAAAGATGAGACTAACTTTATGAAAATAGGTGAGTTGATCTGGAATGTTTACCTATTACACTGGAAATGATAGCTTTTTTTTATCTACATAAATAGTTTGTGGTGCATGTTGTCACTTAAAGAAATATTTTAAAGAATTTTTTGGTTGCAAGTTATAACATTACATTTAATTTATTCACCTCTTAAATTTTGAAGTGTTAGGAGTGATACGTTTTAAAAATAATGATTAGTCAGAATATGTAACGTAGGTTTATGCTAATCATCAGTAAAGTAGCCTTCACTTTACTGTTATCAACTGATGTATTCATAGAAAACTGATTTTTTATTCAGATGTGATAGCTGAGTTATATTTTTGTTCGAACCAAGGTGTTGAAAAACATCTAATTGTTACTAGGAAATTATTTTTGTAGTGCTATTACCATAACAGCTGTTTTATAGGTTCAACATATTTAGCAACTTTCCGATCAGTCTTAGGCCGTTAATTGTGGAGGAATAGATTGTACCCTGTTGACCCTGTGCATAAGAAATATTAGGGTGCATGTCATCACATGTTTGAATAAATACCAATAGGCTAGTTATCCTGGATTTTTTTTTTTTACTTAGGGGGTCTAGTCTGGTGCAGAGTTTTTTTCTAATTCTATTAATGTTAATGTTACCAAAAGTTACAAAAAGTCAATAGACAACCTTGTTATTAGCAAAAACACCACTTCAGAAAAGGACTTATCTGAACTCTAGCTTGCACGCAACATTCTTTCTGAACCTAATGATTTTAAAACTCCCCGTAGTGTTCAATCACATCAGAATATCTAAATCTGTAAGTTATGAGAGCCCTTATTAATAGTTTTTACCACAGATAGGTTTTGATCTATTACGTTCAACCAAAATATAATAAGGAGGCAAAACGGAAAAGAACTAAATATCCCTGGGTCAAAAATCATGGTGGGGGACTCTTATTATTTATAGGTTTCAGGCTCCTGATTTTAATAAAAGTAACGGAGAGCTTGTAAGCCAGTATGTTGAGAGGGACTATAGTGCGTAATCTTAAATTCTAGTAAGTTTATTTTAAGTGGTTTTTGGCTAATAACTATGGTTTCCCATGACTTTTTCAAGCTTTTGGGAACAGGGATGAAATCAGAACAGTTTTCTGCACCAGAAGTCACCATATTTTTTAGCAATCAAGCCATTTTGATTATTTTTTATTTTGGACTCATGAACTTCACTGTGTCTTATTTTTTTTTTTCATTTTAGCAGCCCCCCCCCCCTTCTTCCCTTTTCCCCCGGCTCACCCAATAGATCTTGGGATGTTTTCCAATACTTCATTAGTTTAAACACCTGGACATTGTTTTAACCAATTGTCAAATTCTCATACTCACTGTCACTATTTTCATTTTTTTACTCATTTTGATGAATTTGCACTATTTTTACTAAAGCATACATACTAACACTACTTTACCTAATGAAGATGTTTTTCTTTCTCGTTTCAGCTGTCATCAAAGGTACCAATTCTATCTATCAAGAAAGTCCACTTCTGTTATTATTTTTGAATTTTTTTTTAGCCTTTCCTTACAACAGGAATATCTGTGCTTTTACACTAAACCTTTTGTATACCTAGACAATTTCTGTATTGATCTGTTGTTCGATTTATCAATAAATATGTCAATTTTATTTTAATTATGTTTACCATTATTTATAGCAGTGCACCTGTGAGCGAGGGGAAGGCGGGGAGGG